ATGTGACATGAAAACTACTCCATTTAAGTCAGTGAATCTCCTCTCATTGCATCAGGAAGTGTTCATGTCTACAGGGAGACATTGCATCATGTCCAGCTCCCTCAACATGTAGGAAATGTAGAAAAGATGAGGAAATACCATATGATCAAATTGTATCTGTGTACAAAGGGTTTCTTAATTGAGAGCAGCAAGAGCAATGTCCCTTCTCTGTGCTCTCCTGGCAATAATGTTGACCAACGAATGGCTATTTGGAGCTGTGCTCTTAGGGGAATTCCTGATCATAGACATTTCCCTTACTTCTAGAGCTACCCATGAACTAAGAGTCAGAAAGATCTGGTTTGCTCTCATTTCCTTAATGACAACTTAACAGTGCACAAAACATTTATTTTTTAATTAAACTGCTTTAAGACTCCAGTGGCTTAAAAGGCCAAGTTAAAAGCATACATCTTAAAACTTTTTCTAAAAGCAGAGAAGAGACAGATGGTAATTCTAAAGCAGGGATCTCAAACTCAATTTACCTGGGGGCCGCTGGAGGCAGAGGCTGGGTGAGGCTGAGGCCACATCAGATCTTCCACAAGAAAAGCTTTGTTAAAGCTTTTTTGTGTCCGAACAGGGAGGTTCTGTCCGCTGACTGACCGTCGTTTATCCTCCTTCCTCCTCCTCCTCCTCCTGCCCCCAGCACCCTCTGGGGTTGACCCAAGGAAGCAGCTCCATTGCCCACTCAGGATGACCCGCAGCTGCTGATGCAGGAGCCGCTTCATTTGCACCCTTTTGCTGCGGATGGGGCACCAGAGTGACCAGCCTCTCCAGCGGATCAGGCCCTCTTGCCGAGGCAGTGTGTGCCAAAACCCATCCGCCACAGTCAGCGGGCAGAGCCTCCCTGTTCAGACACACTATATCTGGGTGAGCATTCAAAAGCCAAGGACAGAGGCGAGGCGGAAGGGAAAGGGTGACTGTCTTTGGCGACAGCCCGGCTTGTGTGTTACTTGCCAGGCCATGAGCAGAAACAGGAAAGGGGTGTGGGAGGGGAGAGCACAAGTTGCTTTCATAAGGGTTCCCACCAGTATGTTTTGAGCCAGAAGTAAAATGAGTGCAGCGAACAAGCAAGGACGACAACCTAGAGAGAGCAAGATTTCCCCCTGTGGTCTGCTCTTGCCCGCATGTTACCATTCTCCACATAAGAAGTGTGCCCTTTTTAGACGCAGGTTGGGAACAATGGAGGAATGCGGCAGAAAGACAAGGCACCCCGGTTCCGTGGAGGGGGTGGCAGTAAACCACTGGAGTTTAAATGCCCACAGATTCACACACCCCTAGCAGCTGCATGCGCCCCTTCTGCAAGGCTGGCCCCATCAGCAGAGTAATCTCTCTCCTGTACCCAAGGGCTAATGGGGCTTCTTGACTCCCACTCTGGCAAGATGCCATGGTCTTGCCCAGTAGGGCTCAGCGAGACTGGGGGGGGGAGGGGAGCGTGCGAGAGAAGGCTGTTCTCTCAGCAGCACCCCCTCCCACAGCACATCTGGGCAAGGAGCGCCAGGCAAGGGGGAAGGAGAAGTGCAAAGAGGACGAGGTGACAGCAGCAGCAGCCTTGCCAGGTGACCCGTGAAGAGCGGTGGGGGGAAGAGAGACCTGAAAGCAGAAGCCACAGTGAT